TTTCAAAGTCTATTAAAGCAATAGCCACAAAATCTTTAGAAATATCAGAAAAAGGCCCTTTCAAAGTGCATGTAGGCCTACTTAAAACCACCCAAACTTCAGTTAAATTTGTAAAAGTAGTTTGCTACTTGAATTTCAATCAATACTTACTGTCAAAGTATTAATAAAAATTGTTTCATTAAACTCCCTGCTTTTTAAACACTTACGCGATTGTTGTTCTTGCCTATGGTTCTTTTCAATGCAATTGAAAATGGCCAACTATTAGATTTTCTGAGCAGGCTTTAACTCTCTCATTACCTTATATCACTGCCTATCTCTACATTATAGTATGAACATGGGCTGATAAAACGGTTCACAGTAAGGGTCAATTAATTTAAGTCGTTTAAGGAGGGCACCCAAGTTCAATTGAAAATGCTCTAACAGCTACATAAATAAAACAATCACCTGTACAAACAGCCACTTCCCACTCCCCCTGTATGTTTTTTATATTACAGTGACACTGTATTTGACGCCCACTTATCTTAGACAATCATTCTTCTACTTGACAATAGGTGGTCGTCTTAGGCAAGTTCGACTGTACATCAAAATCAGTACATGAATCTGTATTACGGAATCCATAATAGCATACATAATAGCACGTTCAGCAATATTAAAATATTATGCAAAATTATAATGAAACTTTATTCCCATAAGTCAGCATAAATAATAGCTCAGTTGATATAATAATATTATCAGACTGGGTAATGTTACACAAAGCCCTTGTTGAAAATGATAACCCAAACGGTTCATTCTTAAACTCCGGCTGTCTAGTGAGTTTTCTAGACTCTCCACCAACTTAGCTCAAGCCTATTGGAGTTGGATATACAATTTACAGATCCTGTCATGGAAATAGACAACGGTGCTAGAGGGGGCGTTAAAACAGGATAAAGACCCCTTTCGCTCTTTTGCTTAATGAAACATAATAGATCTGCTAAAATGAGCATGCTTGCGGGTGAAAGTGATCTCTCTCTCTCTCTCTCTCTCTCTCTCTCTCTCTCTCTCTCTCTCTCTCTCTCTCTCTCTCTCTCTCTCTCTCTCTCTCTCTCTGTATGTATATATATATATATATATATATATATATATATATCATATGCTATCCAAACACGTCTCCATTTCTTCAACAATTTATAACTTATCCATCCATCTGTCTATGAGCCTCTGCACAAGTATTCATTTCTGCCTTTCACACTGTGATAAACGCACACAATAAAACTAAGAAGTGAAAACACCAATATCATCAATAAAAAAAAGAATCAAGTTTAACCTAGCTCAAATAAACAAAAAACGATGATATCGGTAACCACAAAAATTACAAAATAATATTGTAAACTCACTAGCTAACAAAGATTCTTTAAAAACCTCACTCATTGCAGGAATCCTAAAGCATAATTGTTTCGTCCAAAACAGATAGAAATTAAAGAATCATGGAACGCATGATATTGAGGAAAATGGAGATTGAATAAACGCGTTTAATGTATTATTCAGTGGCGAAGCGTCTATATAATCAAATAATCTCTGCTTCCCTTCCTAATTTTGAAACATTGACGCTGTCAAATTCACCCATAAACGTAAACCTCATAATTTAAATGTAAAAAGACGTTCATAATCAACAATGAACAGTATGCCTAACATTCAAAAC